TAATGTATATGTATTTTCAACCTTAACGATCTTAAAGAGTTTGGGTTTGGTCTGGAAATATACAATTAAGGATGAGGCAAATTAACAGTGGCTCATACATAGGCAAATATAAACAACTTAAGAGCATTGTCACTTCAGAAAGGAAGTTGTCCTCATATAATGCCAGCTCACGTGCCATAAAACAAACAGGTGGCCTCTTTGTTGTCAAATCTTATGTTATGGTAGATGATTACAGGAAACCTACATTTTTTTGATGCAGGATTTTCACAGCAACTGAATGCACCTAAATGTCTTTGAGGATCGGCACCTGAATGCCCACAGCTCCCATTGACTTCAGTAGGATGCTCAAGATCAGGCCCAGTGTGATTACCCCAGACCTGGGAATAGCAGCATGGATAGCATGTGCTCAGTTCGTTTTAGTACACAGCCGTTTGTCAGCATAATGCAATTTAAGATGCAAACTGTCAAAGCACTGGAGATGAAAAATTATACCATTCTCACTGAATGTCCCTCACTGGGTCAGATGTTGGCACTAACCGTGAACAACACAGGTGTCCAGTACTAGATTCATAGATTCATAGATTCTAGGACTGGAAGGGACCTCGAGAGGTCATCCAGTACAGTCCCCTGCCCTCATGGCAGGACCAAATACTGTCTAGACCATCCCTGATAGACATTTATCTAACCTACTCTTAAATATCTCCAGAGATGGAGATTCCACAACCTCCCTAGGCAATTTATTCCAGTGTTTAACCACCCTGACAGGAACTTTTTCCTAATGTCCAACCTAAACCTCCCTTGCTGCAGTTTAAGCCCATTGCTCAGCAATGAGAGGGTGAGCAAAGGCAAGCGGGTTATCTCCAGGGCAAAGGTTGTTCCATTTTCAATTATTCTTTTTTTATATAATTACAATGTTGGGTGATCATGCTGATTATTTCTCCAGACCTCTATTACTCTTAGTCTGCACAGCGATGCCAACTCATGATTTTATTGGAAGTCTCATGATATTGGATGTTTTTCTTAAAGCCACAGCTCCTACAGGCATGTGATTACGTGAGAATCTTATCTTTCATTTAAAAAGGTAAGTTTCTAGCCCATATGGTTGTGCAGAAAATTTTGAAAATGTGACCCAAAGGTAATGAAGGCATAAACATTAAAAGGCAAATAAAAAGACTACAAAACATATTATCTGATAAATAAAAAATTCTCATGATTTTAAGCCAATCTCATAATATTTTGAGATCTAACTCATGATTTTTTAAATTTTGGGGTTGGTGTTACTATCCTTTTGACCAGAAATTATCAAATATACCAGACAGTACATAAAAATAATGTATGTACTATTCCTTTATGTGTGCTACAGTTTGGGATGGTGAGGATTAAGGACTC